ATGCATGTACACACACACACACACACACTGGCATACACACACAAGATTCTTTGGGGGAAATTATAGATTTATGGGGTACTTTGGTTCAGAGAGGAAAATGAAAAAGCAAAGATAGACAACCTTGTCCTAACCCTTGACGAGTGGAGGGGGTGTTTGTAGGGATGAGGTGAGGACTAACTGGACGCCCCTATGGGATTTCCAAGGAGGCTGGAGTAGGGGAGAAGGCTGCATGAGGTGAATTTTGGAAAGTGGAATAGTTCTACATATTTGTTAAAAGCTTATTTCTGGAGTTTAATTCCAGACAGTTTAAATCCCTGGGTGGACCTCCAATGGCAGCTAAGTGTCTCTGGCTCTCCGTTTCCTCACTAAGGTGAGCAGGGTGGGGTTTCCTGTGGCTGTAAAGATGGACTCCGCACAGCACCTACTAAGCAACTGATGCTTCAGGCGCGCTGCAGCGGGAGAGCAGCGGGGACCTGGGGGCTGAGAGACTCCAGTGTTTGGATCCTTGCCCTTGTCATCATTTCTGCTTCTTACGTGTCACTAGCCAAAAGCCTGTAGGGATGCAGAGCTAGCCCACTGATTTTCTGGAGTCGTAATACCTGGGGAAGGAGCCTCAGACTGGCTAGAGGCTCCTCCTGTGTTCTGTGTGTGTGTGTTCTGTGTGTGTGTGTGTGTGTTCTGTGTGTGTGTGTGTGTGTGTGTGTTCATCCCTCTGGGACTGCGAAGGAAGAGCCTTCACTCTGGTTTTTCAACCTGATGTCTCTTGTTCTGAGAGAGAGACACTGGAGATACAGAGGCAAACCAGCACAGTCTGTGTTCTGGAGCAGCTTTTGGTCCAGTGTGGGAGCAGGTCATCGCAGCACAGTGGTGCTAACTGCCACAAGCCACACAGGCGCCAAAGTCAGAACATACTGGGTGTGGAGTCCCGAAACCTACTTCACCTTAGAAGAAAGGAAGCCCATTAAAGAAGAGTCTTCTAGGCTGGGAAATGAGTACCGAGTTGGTCAGATCAAATGTGTGGGAAGAACACACAGGAGGCAGAGGCAGGCCAATCTTTGTAAGTTCAAGGCCTGCCTGGTCTACAGAGCTCATTCCAGGACAGTTGGGTGGGCTATACAGATAAACCCTGTCTCGAAACAAAACAAAATGAAAACAAAACTGTGGGAAGAAACTATTACTAGGGCTGGAGAGATGGCTCAGCAGTTAAGAGCACTGGCTGATCTTCCAGAGGACCTGGGTTCAGTTCCAAGCACCTACACAACAGTTTGAAATCCATCTGCAACACTAGTTCTAGGGAATAAGACGCCTTCTTCTGGTCTCAGAGTGGTGTACGGACATACATACAGACAAAATACTCACATACATAAAATAAAAACAAAGAAAACTGTAAGGCGATATGATTGCATAGATTAACCAGTCTTTAAAAGAAAGAAGAAAGACGCTATTGCTATGGTCATTCTGCAGTTAAGGCAAGGAAAGGCTCAATCATAGCTATTAAGCGCAGAGCTAGTACTGCAATCTGGTTAAGGTGAGCCTCCTGGAGGCCTTCATTTAGACCCTGACATTTAAGCTTGACTTTGAAAGAGGGGTGAAATTTGCAGAAATCCTTGGGTTCTTGTATTGGGCTTTTGAAGGGAGGCTCTGGAATCAGACTAATGGAGTTTGTCTCCTGGTTCTGTGATCTCGGGAAAATTTCTTAACTTCTCTGGGCCTTCCTTTTTTTCTCTGTAAAAAATCTAGAAACCAACCACTTCCTAAGGCATCACAAGATGACAGAATGTGTACAGTGTTTAGAGTATTCCCGGGAATGTTGACAAAGTCTTAATACAACGGTCATTATTACTGCTAGACACCCGATATGGTAGGTAAGCCAATTTTAGCTAACAAAAACATTTTTTATTTGAGTAGTTCTGAGTTTATTTTCAGTCTGTGGTTTCTCTAATGTTATTGCTTAGGGCAAGGATACATAAAAAAGGGAATCAATTTAAAGTTAATTTAGAGAAACAGTTAATAAAATAAAAGTCAATTAAAATCTATAATACAGGACCAATGTGGATATGGGAGACAATCGTGATAGCTGCCAATTTTTGTCAACATATTGACGTGACATGTTCCCTCCCGCAAATAAAAGGTTCAGGGCAAGATAGGCATCAGAGATCCGGAGGCTCGGAAAGGGAGGCCGACTCAAAAGCCAGCTCTTCAACTTCTCTCTCCAGGCACGTTTGTGGCGATTTCGGATTTCGGCCTCTCTGATTTTTTTTTTTTTTTTTTTTTTTTTTGGATCACTGGGTCAGTCAGCCAATGCCTCCGGAGAAGTCTAATTCAGCTCAGATCGCAGGCGCGAGCTGCCAAAGGTCTCTGCGCCTCTGGCTCCGCCCCCATCCCCGCCCCGCACATCTGGAGAAAAGCTTCCCGCCGCGGGGCGGGACAAGGCGCAGTCTGCGCATGCGCGTTGGCGGAGCTTGTGTGCCGCACCGCAGGCCTCCACTCCCGGAACCGCGTTGCAAACTGTTGCATCAGACAGCAAGCGGCGGCCTGGCCGCCAAGGTTTCTAGGAAGATAACGAGATTTTGAGCTCCTCCTTGGTGGCTTAGGCGAGTTGTCTGTCCCTCCCTGTGTATATATGCCAGCAACACAAGCCCTAAAATCTCAAGCTTGCGGGTCAGGGTGATATCCAAGGGATTCTTGCTCCTGCCCCAACCCGCGGCCGGCCGCAGGCAGGACCCGCTGAACTGTATTGGGTTTACTTTCTTAACGGCAAGGACCCTGAGGGAAGGAGCTGGGTTTGATTTCTCTTTCCGAGTACAAGAATGCCCCTGAGGAATTTCACACTCTGTGAAAGTGCAAAACTCATTTCCCCAGATTAAGCGCTGCAGACGGTTCCCCAAAGGGCTTGGCAAGCTCCCAGCAGGAATGCGCTGGGAGAGTTTCCAGCTCTGTACCCTGGGCAGCTGAACGTGCAGACAACCCTGAGCTAGAAAGGAGGTCCCCTGGCCACTCTGAACGTCTCTGCAGGAAGACATAGTCCTTCCCAGACAGGTCTACCTTTGGCATATCGCAGGCCCCAGTGTGATGGAGTTTTGGGGCCTCAGACTGAGAATGCAGAACCATACACTCACGCATAGGCGGCGCCTACATAGTTTCCTTGACTCAAATGGCCCAAGCGCTCCTGACTGAAGAAAAAAGTGCCTCTCGCTTCTCCCTACTCTTTCAGGTTCTAGTCCCGCTGCCTTCCTCAAAGGGAAGGAAATGATGCAGCATCTGGAAGGGTTGGGGAGTGGAATGTTAAGGACACTAGGGGGTCTGGGAATGTGGCTCAGTAGGTAGTGCTTGCCTAGCGCGCACGCATACCCCGGCTGCCAATCCTAGCACAAACTAAGAGTACGGTTAGGAATTTTCAAGGACGGTCTGAATCTTACCTCCAGTTCTTTTCATCTTTAAAAATAGGTCAAGGCCATGATCGCTCAATGTTGATAGATTTTCCAGAAAAACAAACAAACAAACAAAAAAAACCTGGCATTTTACGTTAAGTAGTCTGTCTTTTTTGTTTTTTCGAGACAGGGTTTCTCTGTAGCTTTGGAGGCTGTCCTGAAACTCGCATTGTAGACCAGGCTCTGGTCTCGAACTCACAGAGATCCTCCTGCCTTTGCCTCCTGAGTGCTGGGATTAAAGGCGTGCGCCACCATTGCCCAGCAAGTATTCTGTCTTTTTAAGGGTGTGGATGTTGAAAGTATATTTTGATTGAATAATCTTGAAAGTTAACAAAAGCCCAGTGTTCTTCCTTCCTCTGATTATTGTGACTCACTTAATTCCAAGATGCGATTTTTAAAAATGACTGAAAGCCTGGTAAGCTTTATCCAATGTGTCCCAACAGCCAATGCTGTTTAAAGTAGCATTTTCCTGTCAGCAGTGGAATACTGTGTCAGTTTGGGATTTTCATTGTAATACGTGCTTCATAAATATGACCCGATTTGTTTCAGGCTGAGTAGCAACACTCTTATGAGCCAAAGGAATGGGAGTCACAAGCCAGCAGTTGGAGAAGCAGGCTATTAATATCCTGGAGCCAGGCAGGAAAGCTGTAGCCTTGGGCTCACGCTGGGGTCTTTGCTATACCCCTAGCATCAGTAAGGCTGCAGGCTGTCATCACATGTCTATGGAGGGAATACACTGACAGAAGGAAGGACAAAGAAACCCACTCTTTTGCAGGAGGCAGCTGAGGACAACCTGGGGCCTCCTGTTTTGGGTGAAGAGGGCTAATTCTTCTGACTTAAAGACATAGTGCAATAGGGACAGCTATTAAGTGACAAGTTTCATGAGCTCCTTTCTGCACTGCTTTCCCTGTCTGGAAAAGCCACCAGCTGGTAATGCTATAGTCAAGCAGTCATTCTACATAGCCACACCTAGTGATGTGATCATTGGTAGCCTCACCTGGTTTGGATTTCCAAAACAAACCTCTGGAAAAGTAAGGGGTCCAAGTTACAGATCAAGAGAGCAGAAAACTCCCCCCTGAAAACTGTATCTTAGACCCCGATGGCCAGAGATGCAAGCGTAGTAGGAAAGCATGATTTGGTCTCTTCATAGGAGCCCAGCCCAGCCCCAGACAAAGCGCCTGTTCTAAGGGCCATGATTGAAATTCCTCGTGGAAAGTCTGTCTTTGAGACACCAAGACACCTCATTTAATTCCCATTTCCTTTTTAAGTCAGGTCCCTCCTTTTTGAGAACCACATTTAAAGTTGCTAGCTGGCTTTCCTTCTGTTTTTGCTATTTGTGTGCCAACTTCAAGGGTGGGGAGAGCCACATTAATTTAAAAATATAGCACAAATAGCAAAACGAGACTTGATTTAAAGTAAAAACCACAGAAAGGGTTTTCCCATTCCCTTCTGTGTTTTTCAGACTTTCCTAGACCCACTATTATTTCTTCAGAGCCCAGACACAGAAAGTGAATGAGCCACATTGGATGTTCTTCCAGACTAAGCAAAAAAAGACTCCAGTGGACTCTCTCATGGTACCTTTAGCCTTTATTTTAAAGAGGACTTCAGAAAGCTTGACTAATGCCGGGCACTGGTGGCACATGCCTTTAAACCCAGCACTGGGGAAGCAGAGGCAGGCAGATCTCTGTGAGTTCGAGATCAGCCTGGTCTACAAGAACTAGTTCCAGGACAGGGCAACTTCCAAAGCCACAGAGAAACCCAGTCTCAGGGAAAAAAAAAAAAAAGCTGGACAAACTCCATTCATGGTAGGGTTTTGCTAAGCACCCTAGATTTGGGTTATAACCAACCCCTTTGGATCAGTTGTCCACTTGTGCATTTTTTTTTTTTTGGTTTTACAAGACAGGGTTTCTCTGTATTGTTTTGGAGGCTGTCGGACCAGCCCGGCCTCGAACTCACAGAGATCCTCCTGCCTCTGCCTCCTGAGTGCTGGGATTAACCACTTGTGCATTTTGGTTTTGGGAATGTGGCTTTAAGTGTAGAGCTCCTGGATCAAATCCTGGTCTCATTATTTATTAGTTTTCGGGATTTACATCAATGGGAATCATGATTCACAATGTTCAGGCCATAGCGAGCCAAGGTCTAAAAAGTCCTGGAGCAAAAGGAGCGACCAATAGGCGGTGACTATTATGAAAATAGACCGTTTCAACTGTCGGCTCCTTCTATAGTCTTCATTTCCCGTTTTGGAAAGGAAAGAAAATTCGTTATCTATTTCAAGTGGAGGATCTACCTCCATTTTACATCTCTCACAGACTCACCAGAAGGGGAGGCCAGACCGCGCTGAATTTGGAATACCTAGGCTTTTTAACGGAATGGATGCCTTTACAGAACAAGGGCGAGCCGGTTGGGGCTTGGGAAGCCTTGAAGGGATAGCAATTGCTCAGTCTAAAGAAGCAGGTCTAAGATCGGGGATGGAGGGATTCACCTGAAGAAGAAAAGCCATTGCAAGGTGTGCATAGGCAGAGCTGACAGTAGTGAAACTCCATGCGCGTGCGGCAGCGCCCTCTGCCGGCCTCGGGGGGCAAATCTGGAGCCTGGCCCCACGGCTGGTCAAATGGGACTCCGGATCCCTACTGCTGCCTCCGCCCCCGCTCCGTCCCTTCCGTGATCGCGCAGCCTGGTCTGGGACTGGATTCCAGGAGAGGCATCCCCATCCTGCGCCTGAAGGCAGAGCAAGGACGCTGCTCTAAGACACCTGGTTCGTCAGCAGAGCGGAGGCTGCAGAAACCTACCCAAACCCACCTGAGGCTGCTTTTGCCACCCGGGAACCCGGGCAGAAGCCTTCGGGGCGGTCGGAGGTGGTTTGGAAGTGGCATCGCCTATGGTCAAGACCGAGGGTTCTGCGGACAGAGAGGAGCCCTGGGTTCGCTTTCTGCCTCATCCAGCTAGGTGACCTTGGGCAAGGTACTTAAATTTCCATGTGCCTTGTTTTCCTCATCTTTAAGATGGAGAGAAAGCTCCCGATCTTAACGGGTTGGCCTGAGGATTACACGAGAACAGCCAGCCTAGGTTGGGATTCTGGCATTGACACCAGCTAGCTGTGTGCCCTAGGGAAGGCTACTTAACCTCTCTGCTCTGGTTTCCTGCAAAATGGGGATCGTACGGTACTTACCTCCGAGGGTTGTTGCCTGCAAAGCGCTTAACACTGCCGTGGCAGAGTAAGCGCTCAATAAACTGTGGCTATTATGGCTGTTGTCGTCATTATTGTTCGTTAGAGTGCTGAGCACGGGAGCAGGGATTTAGCTGGCTGGTTATTATTAGTCTGTTTCTTGGGTCTGGGTATTTCTTTCCTGGCATTATTAAAAATCTTTATTATTATTTTATATATAAACTATTAGCTCGCGTCCTTATCAGTTCCTGAAGAACTAAGAGTCTTCCCGAATTAGCAAGATCTAGGTTCTCCGGGAGGAGGGCCAAGGATGCGGTGGTGGGTTTCAAGGACTCGGACCTGCCGGTAGGAAGCCCGCGCCGGGGTTAGCGCGCGTCAGAGCCTTGGTGACGTCGCCAGGCCCTCGGGCCCCGGAGGCGCGGCCTGCGCTCGCCCGGCGCCTGTGGTAGTAGGGATGGTCGGGTGGTACTCAGAGCCGAACTCCAGCTGCTCTGGTGCCCAGCTCTCCGAGGTACCAAGGGAGAGCCTGCCTGGGTCCGCGGCCCGGTGCCTGCCGCTGCGGGGCGCACCCGAGAGGCTGGAGGTGCCAACCCCTGCTCGGGTGTCCCGGCCCCGCCCAGCCTGGCGTACTTGCTAGCCTCCTGGAGGCTGCTCTGCATGCTCCCTGTCCCGGTCCTTCATCCTCCAGAAACCCATTCCTCATCATCCTGCAGGGCCCCAGCTCAGTTTCTGCTCGCTCCGCGCTGGCTCTGACCGACCCCTCCTTGGTCTCTGGCGCCTCCCATTCGCCCGCAGCGCTGGGAGGACGCCCCGCAGGTCCACTTAGCTTGCCATGCACGCATCTCCAACTCGCCGCATCTTATTTATCCCTGTTACTCTACATCGCAGTGAAGGTGACACCGCCCACACGATCACTCGAAATGCGTCCTGGATGCTTTTCCCAGCAGTGGCTACTCCAGCCAAAGCCACTCTGTCTGTGACCTTGTAAAGTGCGTCCACTGCGTTGGCTATTAACATGTTTCTCTGTAAGATCTGAGTCTGTCCTCCTGCCTCATTCAGATCCCTTTTCCTGCAGGCCGCGAGCTTCCTGCACTCCAGTCAGCACAAGGCTTGCAGCTTCGGCAGGGAGGTCTGGCGCTCCAGGCCCTCCCCATCTTCCTGGGCGCGCAGGTCTGCCATTTTCTAACACTTCACAAGCCAGTCCCAGTGTAGATCCTGCCTGGGTCGCGCACTATTTAAGGAGTTCAGTACTTACTCCGCCTCCCGCCACCTTCCTCTTATTCTCCTGAACTCAGGAGTCCCCCCCCCCCCCCGCCCTTCAAGGGTGTCCGCTCCTCCTATTCCTGTTCCGGCTATGTCAAATGTTTTTGGGCCACGATTTTGTCAAGCTCGGAGGAAACACATGACCTTTCTAGGTGGCCAAATGTCTGTTCCCCACCCCCACTCCACTCCCTTCTTCCCAGAGCTTGACTCTTTCACCTGGAACACCTTTCCACTCATTTTCCTTTCCTCACTCGCCTCCCCCATCTTAAGGCGCCCCCCCGCGCGTGCGCGCGCGCGCGCGCGTACACACACAACCAGCTTTCTCCCCACCCCACCCCAACCTATCAAGCACTCCTTTGATAGGTCAAAGGCCAATTTAAAAAAATCTAAAGCTTTCAAAAACTGCATTTATAAGCTTACGAACACTGTATCACCCTTTTTTTCCCCTCTGTTAAAACTTAACGTTTCCCCTATTCAATTCAGAGTTTCTTAAAAGGAGACAAACCCTTTGGATTTGGACAGAGTCCTCTGAACCAATCTCTGTGCCTTCCTAACAGAATCACCTTGGCGCGTTGATGCTGCATTCCCATGCCTGCTTTTGTGTTTTTACTCCGTATCTTGGTGCCTGTAGGCACTTCGAAGGAGTCACCTGGAATTATTTTAAACGTTGAAGAGATGCTATTAGACTGATCATATAATTCTGTAACTTGCTTTTTTTCGACTAGGCAAGCATGAACCCTCATTAATGTATGTGTTTCTGGATCTTACCTTTCCTAGGCTGATGAGGGGCCCAGTTTGTGAATTCAGCACGCTTTACTTTCCAGCCTCCTTCTGGAAGATATTTAGCTCATTTTCACTTTATTTTTCTGTTAGAAACAATGCTCTAATAGCTTTTTAAAAAATCCCATTCCCTGGAGTGAAAGCAGACTTGAGTAGATACTTGGATGTGGAGCCTCTGGGCTCAGGACACGGAACCTGGCAGCGTTGTTGGGCATGGCTCAATGGGTTGTACTGATTCACAGTTCTGTGAGCATTCCCCCATGTTCCACACCCTCAACACTTGCTAATGTCAAACCTTAAAGTTGTTGCCAAGCTGATGGGTGTGAAATGGCATTTCAATGTTTTAATTTGCAATTCCCTGTTTACAAGTGAGAGAGACAGGAGCATACTTTCTGTTTATTGGCCATTTTCTCTTCTTCTTCTTCTTCTTCTTCTTCTTCTTCTTCTTCTTCTTCTTCTTCTTCTTCTTCTTTTTAAATTGGCCATTGGTTTATTTGACAGTGCATCTATTGGTCATATCTTATTATGTGTAGGAGTTCTTTATATATTCTGGGTACTAATCCTTTGTCAGTCTGTGGCCCATTTGGTGTCTTATTCCATTCAATTGCAATTTTAAATTGATGTGATTATTTGATGAATGTCTGATTCTCCTATTAGACAATAAGTCCATGAGAAGAAGGACTGTCCCTTGTAATAAGTACAATATTAATACATGCTGGCAAGTCAATAAATTCTTTTGACTGAAATGTGTTGATAACTGACATCATCATTATTATTAATATTATTTATGTATTTTCTTTCCTTCCTCTAGCTTTTCCCCTCAGATGCTTGAGAGTAGGGATCTGGTGATATTTTATTTAACTGACACACAGTGCTTTGATCCCAGAGCATGCATCCAATGGTTTTTAAGTTCCTTCATGATTTTTCTTTCTATTTTTCTCCTTCATTCTTCTCAGGTCATCTTCCATCTCTGAGTCCAGTTATAGCCCTGCAAAAGGAATAAATAGTAAATACATCATGTGTATTTGTGATATTAATATGCAAAAAATGAAATACCTAACACTTAGCTTTCGATAAATAGTGACAATCATTTTGGTCACTAAAGATACACTGTCATTAGTTTTAACGGAAAGGTTTTTTCAGAGACAGAATAAAAGCAATACTCCTAAAGATGTGGTGACCGAGTTTTTTCCCTTTTTTCTTTTTCTTTCCTTTTATTGGCATTTGACCCAAAATGAAGGCTTGGTTCCAATGCGAACTCTGAAAAGCATCAAATAACATTCTTCTGCCTTTCTTTTCTAAATTCCAGGTATATCAAAGCTTGTGAACTGTGCATAGAAGCCCAGCCTTTAAGAGGACACATAAAGGCCAGTCCTGTGTCTGTTGCAGAAGTCAGAGAGCAGAAAGGAGGCAGCGCTGGAGCCGGTCCCAGGCAGCTGCTGTTAGGACAAAAGCAAAACAAAATTCTTTCGTCTGTTTCCCACATCAGCACTGACGGCATGACCTTTGATCTATTTGTAAAATGAAGACAATAACTTGTTTTTTATGGGGCAAGGATTTTATGGTTAAAATTCATTAATTACTCATTGAAAAGTCTTTGGGATCCTTGACATGAAAGGCATTTATTTAAACAGAGCTTCCCAAAGGTACATGTCCCCGCAGACATAGATGTGTACTGTTTTGCCAGAATACAAGACCTAGGAGAGTGGATCTAGCCTCCTACAACGTAATACCACCAGTTGTAAGTCACCTGCAGACCAGGTGAGCTCAAGCAGTTGGCTGACTCCCTTTGCCTGCAGCCTGAAGTTTGCATGAAGGGCCCCCCGTTTCTGGGCAGCCGTATTTGATGACGATGAACATCCTGGGAGGTCTGTTATTTCAGGGCTTCATCCCTGCAGGAGGAAAGCAGGTGTCTTCACTGAGCTCACTGTGATAAGAACCCTCCAGAGTGAGCCGTCAGCCATGAGCACTCCTGGCATAGGTTCTTTCCAGAAAGGCCTGGGACGTGTGTCAGGAGAAGGTGGACGGGACTCAAAAAGCCCCTGTGGAAATTGAGCCTTTCCTCACACAGACATCTGGGAAAGGGACCCAAAGAGCACAGACACACTGCAGGGCCACCTCACGCAGGGCACACATGGCCTTTGTCCCTTCTGTACCGGAGGGAGCAGCAGCAACGGAGTGTGTGTGCTGACTGAGGAGAGAGCCATCCAGTCAGATCTCACTGCTAGAACCCCTTCACTAACCCTGTCAGCCTCAGGGCCTCAGCTGTGGGTCAGGACAAGACACCAATCTGTCAGGGTTACTGGGGACCTCATGGCCAGTGTTTATAAGCTCAAAACTCCGTTAAAACTGAGCACATTTTACATTTTACTTCCTTTAATTAAATTAAAAATTTTTTTGTGGTACTGGGTTCTGACCCAGGACCTTGAGCTTGATAGATAAGCATTGTACTGCTAAGTTCCACTGCCAACCCTCTTTTTACTTAAGTTTTAAATACAGGGTCTCACTGCTGGCCTCCAACATGCACATGCAGAGGTGAGCACACACACACACACACACACACACACACACACACACACTAAAAAAATGAAAAGAGGGGATGAAGAGAAAAAAGAAAGAAAGAAAAAGAAAAAACCGAAACTTGACCCTTAATATTTTTTGGGGGTGCGGGGAGAGTTTGAGACAGGATTTCTCTGTGTAGTTTTGGAGGCTGTCCTAGAACTCACTCTGTAGACCAGGCTGGTCTCAAACTCACAGAGATCCGCCTGCCTCTGCCTCCCGAGTGCTGGGATTAAAGGCGTGCACACAATCTCAACAACATCACACTCTATTCAGGAGCTAGGGGTGCAGTTTGCATTTGATGGTGTCTGAGAGGCACGTACAGAGTCACAAGGGAGTGTTTGTCTCTCTTGCTGTTGTCGCTGTGGTCTTGGGTTTGGTGACACACAAACAGTGCCTGCTGGGGGAATAGGAGGGGGGGAAGACTCAGGGATGATATCTAGAGGCTGCTGTCCCTGCCTGGTCCATGACTGCTCCACAGGGAGGCACACTCACAGCTCATTCATTCAGCAAGCACTGTGACTGTGATTCTCGATGCTGACCCTGTAAACCGGAAACAGGGGCTGGGGAGGTGTGTGGGGGGGGGGCTGTGTCAGGAGCCTGAGCTGACCTCAGAGGTCTTTTCTGGCCTCAAGTCTGTTCTAGATGTAGGAGCTGTGTTAGGAAAAGCCCCACGACAGAGAAACAACCTCAGGTTAGCTAGTTCTGTTACTTTCTAGCTGTGTGACAAATGACATAACATTTCTGACCCTCAGGAGTCCTATCTGTAAAACGATAACTTAGATTTTTTGAGACAGGGTCTCACTGTGTAGCTCTAGCTTACCTAGAACTCTGTAGGCCAGGCTGGCCTTGAACTCACAGAGACCAACTGCCTCTGCCTCAAGGTGGGCTCCACCACACCTGGCTTTTCTGTTTTGAGTACTGAGTAAGAGCCAAATGAGACACAGTACTGAAAACCCTTAGCTTAGCGCAAGGTATGAACAAGCCATCCGTGAATGGTCCCTTCCTCTCCTCCATCAACTCCCTTGGCTCTGCCTGCCTGGCCCCTCCCCCCCTCTCCTCTTTCCTCTCCTTCGCCTCAGCTTTGCTTCTACTTAAGAACTTTGTCCTGTTTGTGCACACTCTGTTTTGAGTCTGGCTCAGAGACACCCACTGTACTGAATACCCTGGCTTCTCCCTTCCCTGGACATTTCTGGCATTTTCTGACAGCCTTGCCAGAGGCCTGGAGAAGGACACCTCCTTCCTGGAGGAAACTGGGGCTTTGTGCTTCCTCAGTGAGGGCTGGAAAGCTTACTGATTCCAAAACACAAAAAGAAAATATTTAAAGCTAGAATGTCTGGCTAAAAGTCTTATTGCAACTTGACATGCCACGTTTGGTTGCTATCCCTGGGAGGCCTGCCCTTTTCTGATGAGAAAGGAGGCATGGAGGGTGGGGGCGTGGGGGGGGCAGGAGGAGAGAAGGGGGGAAACTGTGGTCTGGACGTAATATATGAGAGAAGAATAAATAAAAAAAGAAGTTTACAAAGCATGATATTGTGTTAATTTCATTAATATTTGATTATTTTTGGAACCTGAGACCCACGCTATCCTTGAATGTGTGACAATCCTCTTGTCCCCCTTTTCCTTCTTTGGAGTGATAGAATGTCAGACATATGCCCTTAATGTTATTTGCTTGTTTGTTTGTTTTGAACAGGGTTTCACTATGTAGCTCTGGCTGCCCTGGAACTCACTATGTATACCAGGCTGGCCTTGAACTCACAGAGATTCACTAGGCTCTGTCTACCTCCTGAATTCTGGGATTAAAGGTAGGAGCTACCACGCCCAGTTCCTTGATGTTTTCTCTAGATTTAAAAACAACCTGTAGATTGGATTCTTCTCTGTTTTCAAGAGTGCCCAGATTTGCATAATAATTACTGAGAAATTTATCACCAATTGTAAATGAAGAGACTTGTTTGCCAGTTGTGAGCTAAATGAGTGTGTTTAGTCAAATACAATAGCACAGTTAGAGCCGGGTGGTGGTGGCGCACGCCTTTAATCCCAGCACTTGGGAGGCAGAGGCAGGAAGATCTCTGTGAATTCAAGCCTGGGCTGGACCGACAGCCTCCAAAACAATACAGAGAAATCCTGTCTCGTAAAAACCAAAAATAAATAAATAAATAAATAAAATAAAAAAACAATAGCACAGTTAGAAAAAGGTTTTTCAAAGTTTTACAGTTAAAATAGTTAATGTGGAATATTTTAAACTATTTCATGAGACAGAGGCTTCTGGAGAGCTTAGGGAAGTCTTTAAGATATTTTGTGTTGTGGTTGGAGGCCATTAACGTTTTAGTTTTTCTGCCATGTGACAGCTGACTTTCCAGCCCACCATGAGATATGTAATACTTAGAATTTGAAATAACTTTGGAAAATATTCACAATTTAGTAAAAAATTGCAAAATTTTAAACTATAATTTAATTTGATCTCCAGTAGTTTAAAAATTCATACTTGCATTAGAAACAACACTAGAAAGAATTTTACCAAAATGTTAGCTGACTCTCTAGGTAGAACAAGATGCATAATTATCTCTCTCTCTCTTTTTTTTTTTATACTTTTGAGGCTTTGCAAATTTTCTACAACGAAAATGTATTACAATCAGAAAAACAATTTTTGGTAGTTACAATTTTTTTTCTTACTACAAAAGTAATTTATACTCATTATAGAAAAATCACAAAATACATACAAAGTACAAGGAACAAAAAGAGACATGCAAATTCCACCCACCCAGAAACAGGCACTGGGCCCTTCCAGATCTTTCTCTGCATACATAAACATTTATATTTTTATCACAAAACAGGATCATTCTGTGCATAGCACTGTTTTGAAACCTGTTTTTCCCTCTTAGTGTATGTCGAGAACGCTAGAAAGAGTCAACATGAATTTCTAGGAGATGATTTTTCATGGCAGCGCATCACTAGGCTTCGAGAATAAGCCGCCATCTACTTAACTCCTAATAGTAGCCATTTATGCTGCTTCCAGATAGTCTTTCACCCCCTCCCCCACTTTGGATTTGTTTGAGGCAGGGTTTCTCTTTGTAGTCCTGGCTGTCCTGGAACTCACTCTAAATCAGGCAGTCCTGGAGCACAGAGCACAGCCCGCCTCTGCCTCCCCAGTGCTGGGATTAAAGGTGTGCCCCACCACACCAGGCTAAGGTTTTGCTGTAATTGGACACAGCAAAAAGACTGTTGGGTCTACTAAGGATGTCTGTGTGGACAGGTCAATTTCAGCACACCTACATGCATCAGATCCCCTGGAACTGGAGTTACTGATAGTTGTGAGCCTCCATGTGGGTGCTGGGATTTGAACCCAGGTTCTCCGGAAGAGCAGCCAGTGCTCTAACCACTGACCCATCTTTTCAGTATTCAGATCTTTCTTGATCATAACCAGGTGATAATCAGCTATATTGTCCAGTGACTCACAGCCAGTGAGTTAAGGGCAACTCCCAGCACTGTTTTGTATGTTTCAACAGCCATTGCTTAAGGCTTGAAAGAGCTCACAGCTTGCCACCATCTTTCGTCCAAGATCTGTTAAATCAGCCTGGCCCCTCTGCTGGATATCGATTAACATCATGGGGTTAGGCTCAGAGTAGCATGTTTGGGGGATGGTAAGACATTCAGGAAATCAGGAGCATGAAGATAAGAAAGAGGTGGGCCAGAGATGGAACTGTCGGGAGATGGGGATGCAGGGAGATGGGGATGCAAGGAGATGGGAGCGTAGGGAGATGGGGGTGCAGGGAGATGGAGATGCAAGGAGATGGGGGTGCAAGGAGATGGGAGTGTAGGGAGATGGGGATGCAGGGAGATGGGGGTGCAAGGAGATGGGGGTGTAGGGAGATGAAGATGTAGGGAGATGGGGGTGCAAGGAGATGGGGGTGTAGGGAGATGGGGATGCAGGGAGATGGGGATGCAGGGAGATGGGGGTGCAAGGAGATGGGGGTGCAAGGAGATGGGGGTGTAGGGAGATGGAGATGTAGGGAGATGGGTGTGCAAGGAGATGGGGGTGCAAGGAGATGGGGGTGCAAGGAGATGGGGGTGTAGGGAGATGGGGGCGCAAGGAGATGGGGGTGCAAGGAGATGGGGGTGTAGGGAGATGGAGTTATGGGGAGATGGGTGGGTCATGCAAAGCATAGACCAGTAGCATTTGTAAGGAGAATGATACTGTCTCATGGTTCCTTAGGAAAACAAGGAACTCCTGAGAACATAGCAAGGCCTCAGCTTTGGGGTATATCTAACCCAACATTGAGACACAGCATTGTTAACCACAAAGTTCCTGATCAAGAACTGAATGACTGAGTTATTAAAAAAGGACACAGAACAACCTCTTAATATTTTAGGAGTTTGTGTTGGCCTGCCTTTCTTAGCCATGGGTGGAAAGGCCAGGGGAAGATGGGTATTAGAGACAATAAATTACAGACTGAATATAAGAGCAACTGAAATTTGAGGTCATCAGATGCTGTTCTAAGCATTTACAACCATCTTAACTGGGGCTGGAGAGATGGCTTAGCAGTTAAGAGCACTGGCTGCTCTCTTCCAGAGGACACGGGTTCAATTCCCAGCAACCACATGGCAGCTCATAATTGTCTATAATAGAATCTGATGCCATCTTCTGGTGTGTAGTTGTATATATAGACAAAATTCCCATATACATACACAAATCAGCAAATCTTTTAAAAACTCTTAACTGTTGTTATCTCTACAACTGTTTTTTCAGTTGAGAAAAGGGAAGCACAGAAAGGTGAACAAACTTCTCCAAGATCACACAGTGCTTGGGATTCGAGATTTAGACAAAGGTTGCCCATTTCTTACAATTCATCCGGCTCTGCTGAATTTTTTTGAGGCTGAAGGAAGCTGTCTGTTAGAGGCCTATGGATCTGATTAACCTTGACATCTTTGTGCAGAGCTAGCTTCTAGATGCACTGTCCATGGATACTGGATTAATGAGTGAATGTGAAGGATGCACTTGGCCTAGCACAGTGGAGGGGGG